CATTGCGACAACAGTAAGTAAAGGTTATCTAGGGAGATTAAGAGATCACCAAAAAGTGTTACATATAAAGCCTTAAGCTAAAAAAGACCCAGTTTCTAAGAGTGAACGTTGTAGGCATGAAGCTAAAGGATAAGTCGTGAGAGGATACACCAAAGGATAAATACCTTGTCACCCTAGATCACAAAGGTGTCATAAGAGAATACTTGTTAGAAGAATTTCATTATTTTAGGTGTTAAGCTATGTCTATTTTAGTTAGACTTATTTGTTGGGTGTATTTAGGTGAGTTACAATTTCTTCCGCTTGTATGCTTAAATTCTTTACATTCTTTGTTTTGTGGGAAGAAGTTTTTTCCTCTGCGTTGGCACTAAGGCGCAAAGGTTTTTAACAAGGCCTATCATGTTACTATTTAAATTAGGAAGTATTGTTATTTTGTTCGCAATAATCGACCAATGAAAGGAAATTTACCAAAACCAATCTTAGAGGTGACCATATACGCTAGATTCCCATGGAGGAATCCTTGTCGCCATTTGAGGTGATTTCACATGTTGGATTTCCTTAGAGGGATCCTTGTCACCCTTTGAGATAATCACTTGTGTTGGATCATCATTCAAGAATCCTTGTCTCCCTAGGGATTATCATCCTCATGAAGGAATCATCACCATTACAAAGCCACAACAACATCAAACCCTATTTAAGATAATGTGAGGTAGTTCATGTAAATAATATAAAGGTGTATAAATCCACTGTTTGATTAATCCCCAAGGGTAAAAGGCCACAAGAGAATTGGTAAGAGCATTCAAAAATAATAATTACAAAAACTTTTTGACAAAATTATAAATTACTCGTTAAGGGCTTGAATAAGTAAATCCTAAACTCATTAGTCCTATAAAGCCCATCGTTCATCCAAAGCATTCTCTAGGTGGCCAACGCCCTCTTAGAGAATGTATGCTTCTACTTTGTTGCCCTCATGCTTAATTTGGGTGGCCTTACCAAAAACATGTTTGGGTATCTCTAGAGAGCGGGACTCTTCGTCTTTAACCAACTGGATGTCACATACCACCTTGAAAAAATCCATTTTTCTCAAGTCTAATCTAGGATAGAAGAAGGCTATATGTTCATTCGTTCGCTCAGAATATCGGTTGAAGGTTTCCACTTGTTCATCCTCGAGCGCAGATAGCTCCCCCTCAAGCTTTTTAAGAGAATTGAGGAACCCTCAAAAGACCCATATCTTTTTTCCAAGGTAGCGAGGTTCTGTGTCCATAGCTCCATTTTTTGAGTAGGGATTTTAAATCCTCGTTTTCTTTCATAATGGTCATCACTTTCTCTAGGAGAAAAAAACGCTTCTCTGGGCCATTGCAAGCTTCTATTTCAACTCACCAACGACTCAAATATATTTCTCTCGTTGGACACCCTCCATCAGAAAATTCCTTAGTAGGTGCCTTTCTTCCATGCTCGATAGCTAGAGGGGAGACATGTTATAAAAGGCCATGTAGTTAACAAGGAAATCCTTAGCAAAAAAGGAGGCGATCCTCGCTAAACTTAATGGCATCAAATGCAAGATCACTCGATAGGGAAGGCTGAGGGAGATAATCAACCTTTTCTAGCAAGGGTTCCCCTTATTCCTTACCTTCTTTAGTAATTGTCATCTAACAATCCTTTGAAACTTGAGAAAAACCTTCTCCTTGACTTTGTATCTTAGGTGGGCAGGCACAATCTAGGGCATGGTCCTTGGCATTCCTTGTTTTCCCTCTCCGTCCATTAGGCCTCCTAGGCGGCTCTTAGGACTGTCTGTTAGTTAGTGTTAAATCTTCTTCCTGACCAGTCGCTCCTTCCTTTCAACCAGAGAAACTTTAAACATTTTCTCTACAAGGCACAAGAAAAATATAAAGTAGTGTAACAAATAAAAAATCTCAAAACAAAGGTTTTCTTGACCATCAATTCACCCAAATACTTATTTATCCCACTATCATCTCGATAATGTAGAGTAATAATAGCACAAGCGCTCATGACTTCGAAGTCATTCAATATTTGAACCACTTCTTGCTCAACCAAGGTAAGGTAACCAAATTTAAAGCCCATGTTGATTTTTGGATATCTTGTCCACGATAGTGGGAAACAAGGGACACTAGTCACCCCAGTCATGACCATTGAGGCACAATATCGCCCTTTGACTCTCATGAACTTGTCCTTTTTGTCTCTGTAGGGTTTTGAGTAAGGCTTAAACAATTTTTTTTGCGGGTAAGGCGCATAAGGTCACCTAACTGATTTTAAGGATGATTTTAATACCATAGAAAGAAAAGAACATCTCAATGTTCGGGAAGACTCACAATCGCTGATATGTAATTTCGAACGCCATAATCATGCTCTAGACGTTGGGCGTAACCTGATAAGGAACAGCGTTCAGAGTCACTAGAAACTCAGCTTCAAATGACATAAAGGGTATTAAAACCCCTAAATTGTGAATAACATGGATGTGCAAATAGAAGTAAGGGATTAGTGAACTAATCAAGGTGGCCATATTTGCCCAATCCTTCTCATAACATGATCCAAAGTCACATCATCTTTGGGTCCAATATTGAAAAGTCTGGTTTTCGCCGAAAAATAATGACCTTGTCGTCATTAGAGTACATAGAGACAAAGTCTTTGACATTGAAACATTTAAAACTTGTCTCCACCATTGATTCTTGATAAAACAGGAAAAGTAAGATAATCACTATCATAACTACTAAGGCTCTCATAGTTCGCAAAAGTCTAACTCATGATATTGGTGCACCACCACTCCTTGAATATTTTAAAATTTTCACAATCACCATTAAGAGAGGAGAGAGCGAAAGCAAGATAGAATCATACATACAAACATAGTCTAGAAATTATAGAACAAGTGCACTATGGGCTTGTAGAACTCTTAAGAAAATAGATGAAAGCTTGGAAGAAGAGAATGCAAAAAAAGATAAATAAGGAAAAATTGAAATCCTTTTATAATGAGGGAAAGTCTAATCATATGGGTAATCGACAACCCATACTAGGCATCCCAACAATTAAAAAGAAAATAGCCTCCCCACGCCAGAGACACATGTGAGGGATTAATGCCGAATCGGCTCCCTCGGAAAAAATATCATCATCAATCTTATTTAATACAACATATGATTTTCACCTCAACTGGCGTTTAGTAGATTTCCATTAGTTGACATTTGAGTATTCACCTCGTTAACACCTGAGGATATATCTTAGGCCAAACCTAATGGACTCGGAGGCCCCTGCTTGATGGATCTCTCAATTATGTCATCCATTCCCTGGGTGACTCGCCTAATTCGTGGGAAAATGTGAGTGACGTGTCCTAGTTCAGGACATAACGATGCAAAAAGGGAGTCAAAGGGGAAATGACATTCTCCTAAATAATGGAGGAATTAACTACCCATTTCCCACACTCTTAAAAATGACTGCTACTTTTTAGAAAATTGAGATTCAGTCCCAAATATTTTTATAAATAGCTCAAGTTAAAGGTTGATTGGGGATCCAATTTATTACACTAAAATACTACATACAAAGATTCTCATCTTCCTGTGAACTAGCTTTAATACCACAACAAATTCTAAAAATCTCTAGCAACTATTAATCACCAGGAGTTGTCATGTATTATACTTTTAGCACGTACATCATTCAATTAATCATTTCTTTATATTCGTTAATATATTGTGCAAGTAATCCAAGAAGAGGTGTTCCAACAAGTTTGTATCAATAGATTCTTGGTTTTAATCTTGTGAGAGTGGAAATAAAGAGTGGTCACAATGGGCATGTGTTTAAATAGAAACTTTCCCACCCAACTATTGAATTTTGATGGCAAACTTTGGAAGAGGCAGTGTGTGTGCAAACGTGAGCATTGTTTAGCTTTCAAGATGTGTTGGAGATCATCAAAAATGACTATCCAACATTAGCTAAGGGTGCATGTGATGCTGAAAAGATTGCATTCAAAGAGAATAAGAGGAAAATAACAATGTTGTTTCATCGTTCATTAGTACATGGATGATGCTAAATTTGACAAAGTGGTTGATGGAACCAGCTCAAAACAAGCCTATGATATATTGGTGAAGAATCAAGCCTTTTGTGATAAAGTGAAGAAGGTCAAACTTCAAATCCTTGAGAAGACAATATGAACTCCTGCAAATGGAAGAACATGAAAAGAAAATAAGTTATTTTTTTTTGTCAAGATTATAAGATATACAAATTCTAAGGTAAGAATGGTGAAGTTTTTATTTATTAACAAATTTGTGAACAAATCTAATATTCCTTACATAAAAAGTTTGATTACATTGTGTGATATAGAGGAATCTAAGGACATATCTCTCTTATGAGGATAAATGAATTGGAAGGCACAATATTTAATCATAGTACGTTTGATGAAAAATATGTTATCTGTTCCAAATAATTTGTCAGAAAAATCATATAAAAATTTCTAATATGAGGCAATCATGAGTTATAGAATTCCTAATAACACAGTAAAAGCATTAAATGTCATTAAGTGAAAAACATGGTAAGAAATACAACAACAAGAGGGTGTAAATATAAATAAATCTGTACTAAAGGGTGTAAATATAAATAAATCTGTACTAAAGAGTGTAAATATAAATAAATAAATAAATACATATTAAAATGAAAAGAAAAAAAAAAAAAGAAAGAAAACTATGAAATTAGAAGCCAATGAAAGTTGAGTAATTTATACAATCCCATATGAAATGTCTCCTAAAGTTGATAAAGAAGAGGAGTTTGTTTCAGAGAACAACAAGGCCTATTATGTCATTGAGTTGAATATACATAATGCATGTATCCTCCTTCAACCAGGCCTATACATTCGTGAAGTGCAAATGCATGGTGAGAATTTGTGAATAGTTCAAGCATTTTGAGGCATACCCTTCACCAATTAATGTGTATCACATAAAGCACCTCAAAAGATGAGAGAACAAGAACAAGAACAAGCAAAATTCCATACAAATCATGTCATGTCACGAGCTCATAGATTTTGCCAATGCCATTTCACTTTCGTGTGATGCAACAGAATATGCCCTATTCAATTCACCACCACCACCACTACTACCGCCTTTTGTTGATTGAGCCGCAACCTCAACATCTCCATTCCTAGGTTGATTTGAACCGCCGCCGCCGGACATCAACCCAACTCTACATCCTAAACACCTTGAGAAAATTCTATATAAACATGTGAAAAACCAAAAAGCCCATGGTAGACAAACCAAGCCGACACCAACTACGGGTACCCATGATGAAGTTTCAGATTCAGGAAGGTACATGTATGCAACAAGGCACGCACCTCCTGCTATTAAAGAAATGAACAAAAAACATGCTATAATCCATATGAATTTGCGACCAGAACTAGGATCAGACACAGGCATTTGTTTGTGTCACACAACATAAGTTTTGTAGATATTTAGAATAATGATTAAATATATGAAACTTGGATCAAGATTAATTTGTCTTTGTCATCATCCATTTTATGAATTTGAGGGGTTAATGATATTGGTTTGGCATTTGGTGAAGAAGGTTCCTAATTGAGGTTAATTTTTATTTTGTTTTCTTTTGTTTTTTTTCTGGTGTTGTTGCAATCATGAAGCCTGAAAATGGGAATTTTTTTTTCTTCAAATGGTGGTAATAGACATGTTAAAAAGTCTGTTAATTTGAAAAGGGCTAATCTTAGGACAAATATACGCCTATAAAGAAAGAGAAGAGTTTTCCATTTATGGCTATCAAGTTGGGGTTTGAGTTGATGGATCTGATAATAAATGTTCTACTAATGAATGATTTTATCAAACTAAAAAAATATAAATTCACACGGTTGTTTATTTATAGGGGCCATCCTCACATAAAAAATACCCAAAAATTGCCATAGCATTATGGTTGCTGGCTAGTTGTCAAATGCTTTGAATACTTTCATTTTTTTAAAAATAAAAATAAGTATTTCAGAAAAAAGAATAAAATCTAAATAAACGAAAATATAAACCCATATCTTTAAAATTTACATACCATCAATTAAAAGAATAGTGAGGAATTCTTTCTTTTAACCTTAATAAAATATTAATGTTTTTAAGTAATTAATTATATGCCTCAAATTCACATTTCTTTAATTTTAATAGTTAAACAAAATGGCAAATGAAGTAAACAAATCACCACAAACAGATCCTTTTCCCCTTTCTTTCTGTCAAGATTCATCTATGATTTCGTAGCTTCTATATCACTGAGATTCATAGGCACTGATGTAAATATCAAAATCAATTGAATGGTCACAAAAATTTATCCAGATCTAATTGTTTCTGTCAAAGAAACTTCAGGCTCATCATCTGGGGTATTAACTTGCACTGTATTTATCATTTTGTACATTCTCTGTCCTTGAGCTTTCCTCCTCTTGGCCTCGAGCTCAATGAGTAGAGCAGTGATATCGGCAGGGCTCACTCCACCAACTCTGCTCGCCTGACCAATGGTTTGAGGCCTAACCTAAAATCATTGAAATTTTTTGTCAAGTCTTTGAAAATATAGAGTTGTTTTAATAAGGCTATTTGTTGTATACATTGAAGAGATTGAAAGGTTTAGTTAGTTGAGTAGATGTTCTTAATAACAATTTCATAATATAGATTAGGCTCACATTGTAGAATGCGCATATTCGATAGATGCGGAAACAATCAACATTTTAACAATTCTTTCGAGGGATTCAATATCAACTAGATATTGAAGTTTGAAGGTTTAATTAACATAACATTTTGTTTTCATGATTTATCATCGCCTTTTTTTTTGTCATTACTAAATTTGTACTGTGAACTTGTGGATCCAAAGGTTGCATTTCGCATTTTACCATCCCTACTTGTAATGATCAAAATGTCTATTTTGATAATTATGCTACATACCTTGGAAAGTTTTTCACGAGCTTCAAGAGACAAATTCATCATTGCATAGTAATCCAAGTCTTCCGGAAGTGGTTTATGTTGTTGAGTAACCATCTATAGGTAAATCCAACACAACAATGAGATTTGACATTAAATACACCTTTGAAATTCTACAATGTGCAATGTAACGGTATAGGATAATGATATGGACAGCGTAATGAGCATTTGCTCCCGTTGACATGTATAACAGACATACCTGTTGAAGTTGGCTTTGCTGACGCAAGATGAAACCTTCATACTTGATATCAATTTCAATGCATTCCTTTTCCATTCTAGATAAATTCTTGTCACCAAAACCATGCTTATCAAAAAGTCCATAATGAATGTGTGGTTTCTTAAGAAGACTTTCCAGTGTTGAAGAGTGTTTCACAGGCTGAGCAGACATATGGGTAACTTCAGCAGCCAAATCTCCTCCTGATGAAATAATTTAGGTGAGTACCAATAAATGATACAAAATAAAATAAAATTTCTTTTGGTCCTACTAGATAAAAAGACATGTTGCCAAGAGACCAGTAGTTTCCACTGTAATATTTAAATACCATATTTCCATGTTGCATATATAAGTAATCCGTATTGGCGACTAGTAGCTTATTCCTCAAGGTTGTATTTCTGTAATGATTCTCTATTCTGCGGCAAGTTTTCTTATTCCATGTTCCCCAAAGGATAAACTCCTTTATTGCCTTTTAAAGAAATAGCTCTCAAAATTAGTTGCAACACAACACAAGCTTGGTAGACAAACAAACCTGAAATCTTGACACTTTTCAATCGCTTCTTTTCCTCAGAAATCCGAACCTGTTTCTCCTGGTAAAGTTTCCAACGCCTATCATCTATCAACCCAATTTCTCGACCCAAAGGAGTGAGACGGCTATCAGCATTATCAGATCTCAAGAGTAACCGATGCTCTGAGCGGCTAAATATGAAGAACATATTTTGAGTTATTATTGTCAAGAAATGAGAAATGGAATGAAAAAGCATACATGCATATAAAAGAAGAAATGTTACAATTGAAGTTAGCGTACCTTGTTAACATACGGTAAGGCTCTCGCAGGTCCTTGGTGACTAGATCATCAATTAATGTTCCTATGTAACTGCTCTCCCTCTCAAGAACAATGAGTGATTTACCATCTGCGTGTCTAGCAGCATTGATACCCGAGATAATGCCCTAGAAGATGAAAAACAGTAGATTGTGATAAAAAGGCTTACTAGATTAGCAGGAAGAAAGCATAAATGATAAGAGCTTAATTAATTCCCCATTATGCAACACACCAAGAGAAAAAACAAATCAGATTTTTAACTTATATAGGCACAAATGAAAGTTGACAGAATACCTGTGCTGCGGCTTCTTCATAGCCTGTAGTTCCATTTATCTGACCAGAGAAGAACAATCCTTGTATTTTCTTAGTCATAAGAGACCTAGAACATTGATGAGCAGGTAAATAATCATACTCCACAGCATATGCCGGCCTCAACATCGAACAGTTCTCAAGTCCAGGCAAAGTTCTCAGCAAAGGCAACTGTAGTCTCTCAGGCAAACCAGTAGAGAACCCCTATGCGATAGAAGAGTAAGAAGTTTGAACTCGAAGATAGGACATTCTCTCCTTATCAAGATAAAAAGGAGGTCATATTTATAAGCCATGAATCCCCCTCACACCACCCAAATTACATGGCAGAGAGAGGCAAATTTATTTTTGAACTTTGACCATTTTATAAACTTTGACCCTAAATTCACCTTTAATTGAGCTTCAAATACGTATATTTTGACATAGCTTGTTAAAATGTCTTTCTTCCATCAATGACATCCTTGTTCCACCAGGCAAGAAAATAAAACTCTATTTTTCACCTCTTTCTTTGTTGTCTCATAAAGTTGGTAATACTCAAAATATCTAACAGTTTATCAAGGTTAAACAAGGATATGACATAATTTGGATCTTGCTCATACTTCATAAGCAAGATGCTTCTACTGTCTAAACTCCATGCATCACTATGTTTTAAAACTGGTACATAAACTTGTTGCATAATTATAACCACTTCTGTGACTTGGCAATATTTTTTCTCAAAAATATTATTTTGTTGATTTTCGTATGAATTTTCACCATAATATTATACCTCAGGGAAAAAATGAAAAATTATTAACAAGTTTCATTTGGACTTCAGACAAGAAAGAAAAAATATGTATACAACTTACTTGCACATAGAGCTCAGGCACGTCTCGACCCTCCGGTTCAAGAAATACTTGATGAGATTCTTTATCTTGGAATCTTACAATCTAAAACGTGAACAATATATAATAATGCACAATTTCAATATAATTAATCACATGCTTCAGATCACACCTTTTCTAAAAGGTTCAGGTTTGGACTGAGAGTATTCCTAATTCTACAAGGGGATTTTTGAGTAAATAGCTTAACTAAGTGTTTATCATACAATAGCTTTTCAACTTTTGTTTTTACTGTAAGGATAGAATTTGGGATGGATAGAAATTAAAGAGGGGGTAGACACATAAGTTGTCAACAAGCTATCTTGAAGAGCTTATTGAAACAAGCTAAAAAACACTTATGAACATATCAAGCAATTAAACTCTTCTGAATACTTAAACACATGTTTATGTCATGAGATAATCCCATATAAACGCTTCCAAATGCTCCCTAATTAAACCAAGTTAACTTTTTAAAATATGATGCGTAAATATTGTTGAAACACACCTTATCTTCTATGGAAGGGCAGTATCTAGGTCCTTTGGCTTCAACCCATCCTCCATATGTGGGAGTTTCATGCAAATTATCTCTAATTATCTGGTGGGTAGTACTAGTAGTACGAGTTAGGTAGCAACACATCTGTTCTCTTTCAATATGGACATCAGGATCGAAACTAAACCAGCTGACCTGCCAATTATGAAGATATACTGAGGAAACACTATCTCTGAGTTACAGGGTAAAAGCTTTTACTGATAGACTAAATGCAGAAAAACATAATCATTCTCAGACTGGAGCAAAAGCAAAAATATATTCTATTTATCACATCATAATTTGTTGGGACTACGGAATCAAAACGATTACATAGCATTATCATACAAGGCAATGAGAAAATTGGCTTAAGAAACATCTTGGAACTTGCACAACTGATAGATGGTGGACATAATTCTCCAGTCGAGGTGGCAAATTACTAAGGCTTTATAGTTGTAGCAAAGTTACTAAGAGACTGGCATAAATAGAAAGCTGACAATGGCACATACAATGAGTGCAAACAAAACTATTTAAAACCAAAAATCATAAACTTGATTTGAATATTAAATCTAATGAACCTACATATAAAATTAAATGGTAGAACCTCTTCATCTCCATGTTGAGGTTCTAATCCAGAAAAATCTACAGTGCGAATATCCACTCGGGCTGGAGTTCCGGTTTTCAGCCGATCAGTTTCAAAACCAAGTTGCTGCAAGTTCTCAGTTAATCCATGAG